TACAGCACTGCTCGCCCGGCGCTCGCGGCGCTGCCCACGCGGTGCCAAGGCTGCTGGCACTGCCTGGCTCTGGGCGTCCTCTGGGCCGCGTTGGTGGCTTTGCTGCTGGGAGGACGTGGGGTCTGGAGGAGGTGTGGGCACTGTCCTCAGGCTCAGTGTGCCTGTGCCCTGAGTCACTGGGTGTGCCCCGGTGGCACAGACGTGGTGCTCAGCAGTGGCAGAGGGGCAGACAAAGACCGACCCCAGCTGCCTGGGGATGGTCGGTCCCTCCTCGGCCATTGGCTGTGCCAAAGAACAGTCAGGTCCCTCCTCGGCTGTGCCGAAGGACAGGCAGCTCTGGCTCATCATGTCCTTGTCCGTTCCTCTGCGGTTACATTATTAATTTGCATGAAAACCCTTTGCCAAGCCACAGCTAATGGAGACAGATGATCCTCCCGTACCTCTTGGCAGGAATTGGCCAACAATTTCATCTGAAGAGATTAAACTTTGATCTTGTTATAAATAATTTTCCCACCACTTGATCAAATGTTTTTCTGCATGTTGTTGCTTTCTCTTCCCTTGTACCACAATCCCTGCGGATCCGTTGGGGGTTGCTGTGCCGCAGACTGCTCCTCAGCGGAGGTGTCATTCCTCATTAGGATCTTGGCTGTTCAAGGATGGATTTAGCTCTGGAAGGATCTTCTGCCTCCCGAGCTCGCAGTGAGCCAGCGGACGGGCTGGGGAGGGCGAGCTTAGCGAGGTCTGGTAACCCATTCCTCCAGCCTGGTGCAGGCAGAGGGACCAGTGCCCCCGAGCTGCCTCCTGCCCCGGGGCTGCGGGTTGGGCCAGGTATGGACAGCGAATGCTCTTAGGGAGCAAAGCAGCAAGTCAGTGGCTCCAGCTCGTGCCTTGGCTACTCAGAGCAGCTTTTTCACCGGGGAAGGGGCAGTCTCAGCCCTTTACTCGATACTGTGTATTCCTGAGGGAAATGCACGTAAAGAATGTGGATAATTAATCCTGTAATGTGCTCAAAATCAATGTCTCTTGTTGAGCTGTCAAGTCTCTGGATGCAGGTGGAATTGCCCGAGCAGCTGAGCCTTGGGAATTTTCTTGGAACACTGACAGCTTTTGCTGCTGAAGGTGGCCCCAGGCAGTGCCAGGCTGGGGTGCCATCCTGTGCCCTGGCCTGGCCTTGGCACCAGGGGCAAGGAGCGATGCTGATGGTCAGCCTTGCCCACCAGCAACAAGGGGGAAAGGTGGGGAGGAGGTGATCTCCTGGAGAGGCAGCTGGGTTTGCCTGCAACCCCCACTACGAGGAGTGTGCTGTCTCCTGGAGTACCATAGCAGTGCCAGATGGGGCCAGAGGTCAGGAGGAAGGAGACTCCAAGGATGCCTGGGCAGTGGTGATGCCCATGGTGGCTGTGATGTTGTGATCTTGGAAGTCAATTGCAGCAGCAGAGGAGTTCTGGCTGTAGATATGCAGGTTCAGAGGAAAACTTACACAAGGAGCAAGACTCTAGCTGTCAGATCCTGCTCCTCTAATCCAGCTCCAAGTGCAGCTCTGCACTGCCCTTTCCCCTCCAGGAGTCACCAGAGGGAACTGGCCATTCTTCCCTGTATTTGCAGGGAGAAGAAGAGATGCGATTTAGTCTGCAGGAGGTAAAATTAATACTGTATTTTTTCTAATCTAGTCCCAGCATGGGACTAAATAGAAGTGTTTGAGGAGTGAGCAGAGCTGTTCACCTGCAGGAGTAGAGCTGCATTAGCCATGTAAATGTGCACTCCGGGCCTGTGTCATTTGTATTCCCGGCAGGGATCAGCTCCTGCCTTAAAGGGCTTTTAAATCTGCTGCAGATTAATAATGCAGCCAGTGCCACAATGCATCCTCCTTCCTGAGGCTGGAGAAGGGGTTTGGGCTGGATTCTGTCCTCCAAAGCAGATTCTGGCATGGCTCAGTGACCAGGGACAATGCCCCTGGGGCCTTTGCCCTGAAGGAACTGCCTGGTGACGTGACTCCTCTGGTTTGGGATGGAGAGCTCTGGGGCAGGAGCTGCCTGGGACAGTGCTCGGGTCACGCTCTGTGCTGGTGAGGGAGGGGAGAGGTGCTCTGCTCCGGGCGCAGTGGCAGTCGGTGTCCCTCGCCAAGGACAGGTCTTGGGGCAGCACATCGTTCCGGGGAGGGACACGGTGCCACATCGAGTTTTATGCCTGTTCTGCTCCTACACTGGTTAATCAAGAGGAGAAAACCCACGCACAGGAGAATGGAGTTTACAAAATCAGGCAGAGTGGTGAATAATTTAATGTTTGCTTTTTCAGAATAGAGGCGATGTTAGGGGAGCTTAAAATATTGATGGGAAACATATTTTTTTCACAGTGTGAAATGCTTTATAGCCTGTGTGATTTTCTTTAATGTTTTTTAAACATGTTTGAGGCTGGTGCCTGCTTTTCTGGCATGTACCATGGGCTCTGCTCTCAGCCTGTCTTCTGAGCGAGGGGGGTTGTTCCTGATGGCTTTGTTAGCAGTCAGGACCACGCTCAGGTCTCTACAGTCCATTTGCTGGATTCAGAGACACAGGAGGGCAGCTGTATGATATTTTATTGATGGGAATCAGATAACCTAGCAAGGAGCACTTAGCTTAGTTTACAGGAGCAGGACCCAAGGCAAGCTCTGGGGAAACCTTCACAGCAGGCAGGTGGTGCCTGTGCCAGCCCCTTCCTGCCACACAGGGAGTTACTGACCTTCCTGCTGTGCTTTGTGCTGGGGCTAAGCTCACTCCCTGCTCCTCACGTGGGGCCAGCGCTGGGGCCAGTGAATTCAGGGGGGATGGCATCTGGCAATGCCCCACGCCCTGCAGTGGGTCACTGCGGAGGGAGCTGTGTGTGGGCACTGGAAAGCTGGAGGGACTTGGAATCAAGGAGCGAATCACCATGAATAAAACATCAGGAGGTTTTTCTTCAGCAAAGATTAATGAGCTAAGTAATAAATATAAAATTTCACAGATACTCAAGTTTACTTTCCAGGGACTTGTTCCTCTCCACAGGTGTGTCTGTGGGATGCTCCAGGTCCAGCAAATGATTTGATGGGAAGTGGGGCAAGCTGGAAACAACGTGTCCTTGTGCAGCTTTTACTGTGCCTGAGGACCAGGAGCTGCCTGCACAGGCTGGAGATGGCAGTCCTGGCTGCCCACAGATTACAAAGCTGTTGTGTTTTGCCACCATCTCCAGTTGGATGGTCACCAGCTCGGAGTTATTCCAGTCCTGATTCAGAGAGAAGGGACTGGTATCTGCAGAACCTGCACACTCTGCAGCTGTTTAAGTTGTTGAAGGTTTTACTGAGGCAGCACCACAGTCACTGCCCCTTTCCTCTCCACTTTTCAGTGGCAACTCCTGTCACCAACATCCGTATGGACAAAGTGGAGCAGAAGAGTGTCTCCTTGTCGTGGCAGGAGCCAGGCGTCCCGGCCAACGGCACTGAGTACGAGGTCAAGTACTACGAGAAGGTGAGCTCTGGGGACTGGCTGGGCCTCCGGTGGTGCCCTGACCGATCCAGGCTCCTTCCCCTGCCAGCCAGGTCTGCTCTCAGGAGCACTGTGCCAGGTGCTGCATGTGCCCCCAGTCTCGGTCCCCATCACCCACCCACTGTGTGACACCAGCTAGACAGGGACTGCGACACCGCAGTGGGTTGAGGACACCACATCCTTGAGGAGATGGTCCCTGTGTTCCCAGCCTGCTCTCGGGGAGAGTGTTGGACCTTGTGGTCTGCACTGGCTGTGACTGTGCTGAGCAGTGAGTGCCTCTTCCACACGGGAGGGACCCAGAAACATTGATTTTGAAAACTGCTGCTGTTTGACAGGTGCAGTGGGTTTGGAATTTTGGAAGAAACCGTGGTGGGCAAAGCAGGGACAAGACTCTAAATCAACATAAATGCAGTTTATGACACAGTTCTGCAAATTACCTTATCTGCGTGCTCTCAGGCTCGTTGTGAGCTCGGCGTGTCGTGCTGCGCAGGTGACGTGTCGGTGTGCCATATTTAGAAACAAGCTACCGTGGAGCTGATTCATATTAATATGATTTTCAGTCTCTGATAGATTTGAGAGGGGGGATCTGTGGGGGAGGGCAAATGCTGAGGCCCAAGACGATAATTCCTGTGCAAATGGGCTGCAGCAACATGATACTTGGAGTATGAAATGAGGAACCTTCCTGCTTGGGCAGGGAATTTACCTATAGCTTAGCAATTATTCACTGAAATGAAGCTCTTGATGCTGACGCGAAAATCAACTTAGTTCCTACTCTTTGCTTTTAAGGCTTTTCCTTTAACAGTGGAGATTCAAGGGGAAAAGCATATCGAATGGAAAATACACTTGGTAGTGATGTGAGTGGCTGCTGCCTGTGCCCTGCTGCGCCGTGGGGCTGGGGGCTCCTCGGGCTCCTCCTGCCAGCTGTGGCTCCTCGGCACTTGCCCATCCGTGTTGATTGACTCCAGGGCTGCAGTGCCTGCAGCAGGGCAGCGCAAGGGGTCGGGCAGCGCCGCAGCCAGGCCTGGCGCAGGGGAAGGAGCCGTGCGGTGGCACAGCTGCTCCCACTGCCCATCCCCTGCCTGTCCTTTGCTCTGACTTTCCCAGGTGCTCTCTGCTGGCGAGGCGCCGGGGGCTGCTGTCTGGGTCTGGCTGTCGGGAC